ATCCGAATATATACTGTACAGTTAGCCCTGTGTAATGTTTTATTAAGAACATAGAATAGGCGCTTTCACACCGGAGTACTTTTCCCATTTTAGTTCCGATATAGTTCTGAAAATGTGCATTCACACCAAAAAAATCCGGAACTAGAACTTAGTTCATGAGAACCTTTCCACCCCCTTTTTAGTCCCTGCTAGAGAGCAGGGACTTTCATGGGAGAAAAAGGTTCACATTTCTGATTGGCTGGGTGGATTGCAAACCACGCCCCGTAAAACTCCCAAAAAGTTTTGTGAAGCCGCCATTTTATTTGCTCGCATTAACATTATTAGCATTAGCCCAGCACACCAACGGAGAGAGACTAACTTATGGCAACACAAAATAAAATGTGGGAGCGGTGGAGTGATGAGGAGGTGTTGGCGTTCTGGCGATTTACTCGGAAGGCTTCCCAACAGCTTCTACTGAAGCCAGTCCCCAACTCCGGGGACTTCCGGCCGGGAACTTCGGGTGGCAGTATAGATGAGAGTAACACCTACGTCACTTCCGGGCAAAAATTACGGCCCCACCCACTTTTGGGGGAAAACAACGCTGTCATTTGAATGGCAATAAATACATTGAATTGAATACAAATTCTGAAGTTTTTGCCAATCCGATCAAATTTTTTGGAAAACCGTGGATTTTTGGATCTTCAAAGAGCTCGATTACGATGGCCAGTCAGGCAAACAATTACATTCGATCATTGGAAATCGACAATCGGTCTCGATATATGGTTAAATTAAAATCAGTAGGCGAGGCTGTAATTTCTCCAGCTGTTACTCTCATGAGCGAGGCGGAACATAATAGTTTTATCATGCCAAAAAGCTGCTGTGTCGTTTATTGCACCTCAAATATTTAAAAAATCAAGAGTTCAGTGTTTCTGTACTTCCTCTAAGAAGAAAGGACAGTAAAGGAAGAGCTCTGTGGCTTCAGGCTCGATCGCCATTCAAATGACAGCGTTGTTTCCCCCAAAAGTGGGCGTGGCCGTAAAGTGACGTAGATGTTACTCTCATCTATGAAAATCGATAGCCTACTGCTATATTTAACCATATATCGAGCCCGATCGTCGATTTCTAATGGCTTAATGCAATTGTTTGCCTGTCTGGCCATTGGAATCGGGCTCTTTGAAGATCCAAAAATCTCCGGTTTTCTTACATTTCTGATCGGATTGGCAAAAACTTCAGAATTTGTATTGACCGCCGTTCAACTGACAGCGTTGTTTCCCCCAAAAGTGGGCGGAGCCGTTATTTTTGCCCGGAAGTGACGCATTTGTTACTCTCATCTATAGGCCGTGAAGTTGTTTGCGGCCTGCCAGTAAATCCAAAGCAGAAGAAGAAGAAGTGACGTCAGCGGCTTCATTTGACTAATCCTCCCTCAGGGACTTATTCCGGTGTGAATGCGATCTGCTCTTTAGTTCATCAGAACTAAAGAGTTCATCAGAACTAAGTACGGCAAAGTACTTGGTGTGAAAGCGCCTAATGTATAGATAAAGCTCTTTTTTCAAAAAACACACACAAAGCATTACACACTAGTGATTCATTAACCAGGCAAGCATACGCAAAGATAATATTTGCTATAATACAAATATTTACTATTATTATACTACTTTACTCTCATTCGTCTCAATGGAATAAGCAAATGCAAATGAGCATCAAAAGGAGAGATTATAAGATAATTGTAAAGAAAGATAATAATTATAATCGTTTCACCTCTGATACTAAGCAGGTTCAAGACTCAAAGGCTCATTAAAACATTATCTATACGACTGAAAACTTGCTTTATGAATATTTACAGGATTATCACGAGACATGGTATATGGAAGTGCACAATACTGTATCCTCAAGGCCCTTTCTTGTCTCAGGCACCCTATCAAAAGTATTGAAAAATGGTAGAAAGAGGAACCGTCTTCACATTTTGCAGCAGATAATTTTTTACTCAGGTTGCACTTGGCTCACCTGGCTCTGACTCTGAGGTTGGATTTGTTTATTTTCTACAAGCGTCTAAACCTATTAGAGAATGTAAGCCTCTTTCAGCTTTCTTCATCCGCTCAATTGGAATGAATTCACAGTCGCAAATAAAGAAGGTGTTGGTAGCTCTAGCTCTTTACTGTGTGTGTGTGTGTGTGTGTGTGTGTGTGTGTGTGTGTGTGTGTGTGTGTGTGTGTGTGTGTGTGTGTGTGTGTGTGTGTGTGTGTGTGTGTGTGTGTGTGTGTGTGTGTGTGTGTGTGTGTGTGTGTGTGTGTGTGTGTGTGTGTGTGTGTGTGTATTGGTGTTTCCTTTAAATTGATATATTGAATAATTTGGAAAATGTGCTCCACAAGCTCAGTAGCCAAGTATGAAATAACCCTGGGAGTGTCTCAACAGAGCAATGCTTCTTTATGCCTCCACAGCTAAACAATATATGGTTATCATACAACCTGCTGCGTGATGTCTTACAGACCTCCTACAGGAAAACCGACATTATTATCCTGTCGACGTGGCAGTGTAATAGGGAGTATGTACATTAATCATAGAGGCAGGTTGACAAACTTCATTTAAAACAGAATACAATTACCTTGTTTTTGCGTCTTTTATGCTGCTACAAATTCCTTACATAAGATGGCAGAGCTAAACACACAGACATGACTTCGCACCACAGAGCTCAACAGTACCAGCACAGATTAGTAACTCGTGGCCAGTGAAGCAGCTCTGGTTGAAAAACTGAGGCTTGACTGCTTTGCCCCAGGGTGGTTTTTACAGCAGTTGATGAGAGAGGAGGAGAGTTCAAATATTACTCCAACAAAAACGTTTTGTAGCCACTTGAGGGATTTAAACAGGTGACATTTTGCTCACTGCTCTCACCCCACTGACACCCCGTGATATCCAGAATAACTATTACAAGATGCTGCAGGTTGCATTGCACCTATGTGATGTAGAGGGTTTCAATGGCTCAGTTTGATGCTTAATATACAAATTAATATTATACTAATATATGCAATATTAAGCGCTCTGTTTAACAAACAGATGCTTAACCACAAACCCAATTTGCTGCAATTATTATGGGCAAAGTATGCCATAAAACCATTTAGGGGTTTAACAAAAACCACAATTCCCAGCTGCCGCTTGCTAGAGGTAGTTTTATTTTGTAGCTGGCACTAAAGTAGCTCAATATTATTAAGAACAATATAAAGTTGTTTTTTTTGAAAAAGCATTGCAATTGATTTAAATGCAGTAACTGTACAGTAGTATTTGGTTTCTTTGGGTTTGTCTTTCACAAATTCACATTTTCCTTTGATTTTAATTACAAAAACAATTGTAACAGTTGAGTAAGGCGAGCACATTTGTGAGAACAGATGAATTGCAGATGGTTATTTGTATCCTGATTACTTTGCATGTATGCTAAGGGCAAAATTCTACATTATATGACCATATGACTGATTTGGTACTCTGAAATACATTGTATCTAATTGCTACACTTAACTGATAGAGCTATTATATAAGATTAATTATGCAGATAATATTTACATACATGCTTCCATACAGTATCTGCACTATTAACACAACGTTTCCTGGTTTAAGTCAAACTAAACGCTTAAAACTGTAACTCCACTCTTATAGTGTGAATGCAATGCACATATATCAGGGGATTTCTGGCTTTACAGACTGAGAGAAAGCTGTTTTATGAGTACTCAACTAAGTAATCTCTTTTTATGTTTTAAATGTGACGGTTAATGCCCTTTATTTATCAAGGTATGTGTGTGTGAATGTTTGTTGTTCTGTTCTCTCTCTCTCTCTCCAAAACACCTTTTTTGAAGTTTCATATTTTCTTCCTTTTGGCCCTTTCCCCCCTTTCCTGCTCCAGTCCTGTCTTTAATGCCCTCCTTCCTTGCGTTCATAGTGTTTGTGGCCCTCGTTCCCACTGCTCTGCCCTTTTTTGTATTTGAAACAGCTTGGGTCCAATCGATCTTTGTCTGGCAACAGGATTTTTTTTCTACCTCTGTAGTTGCATTTTGGGTCATTCTGTACTTTTCCTGTTAGAGCAGTCATAGGAAAAGACACGGTAGCTTTGGGAAGATAAGGGGCATGAGAAAGCAGGGGGACAAGCCATGAATTACCTTCAAATACTGATTAGTGTGTAATGAGACACACAATAACACTTACACTGCATTACATTTGCACTTAGAACAAATTACAAAACGTAACATTAGAGAACATGAACAGCTTTTGTTTGCTTATTTTTATGAAGGTCAGGTTTTGCTTGTGTTTCTTTAGATTCTTAAATCAAGCAAGGGTTGAGCTTGATACATCCAGAGGTGTGAAAAGTAATCAGATCTTGTACTTGAGCAAAAGTAGAAGTACCAGAGTGTAGGAATACTTTGTTACATGTAAAAGTACAAAAGTATTTTCATCAAAATATACTTAAATTACTCATTTTGCAGATTGGCCCATTTCAAGTAACTAAAGGTATCAAATAAAAAATGTGGAGTTAAAGTACACAATTTACCCCTGAATTGTAGTGGAGTAGAAATACAAACTAGCATACAATGTAAAAACTCAAGTACAAGTATATCAATACTTGGGTGAATGAACTTAGTTACATCCCACCTCTGGATACATGTATGTTAACTTTATAATAAACAAGAAAACTGGTAGGCCTGCTTGTTAGAGCAGAACCTAATATTGAAGGAATTCGTTTTTCTGTGCATTATATTATACTCACACACCCACATTGACAAATACTCCCTTTTTCACTTTAAAATAATGTCATCACTACATGCAAAATCCGGTAACCATCCTGCAATCCCACTGAGAAACCTTCCTTCATCTTGTGCAGAAACAGAGGTAACTGTAGGTGTCAGCATGACAGCGCCAGTAATAACCACCAATCTTGTACAAGAGTTGCGAAGCTCAAGAAAAACTATTGTACAAAACCACAGAGGAAATGTTTTGAGCCTCATGTAATCCTTTTTTCTCTCCTGTGTTTTCCCTCTCAGCTCCCCCAATAATCCGGCTGTCAGTGAACGACACGGTGGTGGTGGACCCCGGGCAGGATGTGCTCCTAACCTGTGAGGTGACGGCAGGTTTCCCCCTCCCCACCCTGAGGTGGTCGCCCCTTCCCCTCAGCGCACAAGTTCGAGGGCCAACGCTCAATCTGCGGGCGGTCACACCGACCGACGCTGGTTTCTACAACTGTACGGCTTACAACAACGTGGGCAACCAGGCCCGCAAGAACGTCAATCTGGTTGTCAGGAGTGAGTAACGTGTGTGTGTGTGTGTGTGTGTGTGTGTGTGTGTGTGTGTGTGTGTGTGTGTGTGTGTGTGTGTGTGTGTGTGTGTGTGTGTGTGTGTGTGTGTGTGTGTGTGTGTTTATCCCAAGGTGATAGAGGAACAGAAGGTACCAGATCTGTTGTTTATGGGAGTGTTTAGAGCAGTGATTCTCAAACTTTTTTCAATAATGTACCCCCTTTGAAAAAAAATTCAGCGCAAAAACTATTTGTTAGGGGAAAAAAGCCTATATAAAGAGGTACAGTACAGCGCTGCACCATCGGTGCCTGATTTATTAAAACAACAACCTTGTAACTGAGAAACACTTCAATGCTACATTTCAAATGTTTACAATCCATCACTAAATTCATGGCCAACCCATTTTAATATCATGCAATAACACTAAGATGACATTAGTTGCATTGAACTGATCTTTTTAATAAGTTGTACTTACAATTTAGTAACTCTGTAACTATAGTCTATTAATATAAAACCCACACTGCTCAAACTTCGTTACTTTTCCTAAAATTTGTATATTTATCTATTTTTTTTTTTTTAATTAACATAAAATAAATCTCACGTACCCCTGCAGTACTCCAACGTACCCCTAGGGGTCCGCGTACCCCCATTTGAGAACCACTGGTTTAGAGGGTTGATGGTTTGTTTGTGCATATTTCTGTTGGACTACCGATTCGTGTACAAAGTTCTGGGTCCTAACTTGGCATACTTGTGTTCATCCAGCAAATGTTAAGGTTGGTAAGGTTTACAATATTTGAAACTAGAAATAATACGTGCTTTCCTTTGTATTTTTAGTTGTGACTTGTATTACAAATACACACATGATAAATATTTTAGTATTCTCAAGAAAATAGTATTAAACACATGTTTTCCTCACTTTAGTCCATGTCCATACCGAGTATTTAAAGATTAAATAATTTCCCTTACAGAAAATGAAAAGAACCATCTGTCCAGTCATTACTAGCTTTATTCATCAACTTTAATGTGTGAATGCGGCACATACTCATTTTTGCGTGTACAGAATGTGTGTGTGTGTGTGTATGTGGTGTGTGAGGTGTGTGACACGCGCGAGGTTGATCCATCATTAAAGAGAGCTGATGTGAATCTTGTCAGAATAGGCGGGTTAAGTATCGCTCTTTTTCTAATTCCCCTGCCATTAAAACAGAAGCTTTCCATTTTCCCTCCCCTCTGGCTATTTTTAGTCCCTTTTAATCATCTTTATTCACTCCAATTAGTTAGACTGGAGTGGAAGCAATTAGCGACAGTCTCTTCTGTTAGTTAACACTGTAGAGAACGTATGCTGGATGGGTTTCTCTTGTTAGCTTAATGGGCCTGAACGCATCGTCACACCAGCACAGGTGGTAAGACGGTGAATGAGACACACACACACACACACAAACACACACACACTCACACTCGTGTTTAATGAGTGCATACACATTTGCAGGTAGGAATGCGACACAGTTTAAAATGCACATGGCTAGAGACACATCACATGCACATACAACATTGTATCCACACTAACCAGGTGAAGCTGCAGGATCATCTTAAACATATGGTCACTGCTTCATATCCATATCTCCACCCAAGCATCTTGTTAACAAGCTCGAAAGGAGTTTAAATCAAGCCCTCCTCTCCTCCTCGCCGCCTGTCTCTCCCCTTAGTGGGGATACAGAGAGCTGTTTTGTATTCAACATGAAAATCTGTTGGGGAAACTCAGCCTTTGAAACTGAAAATGAAATGTGACAGTGTGAGAGTTACTCTTTGTCCTTGATTTTGTTCCCCACCTCTCCTCCTCTCCTCCTCTCCTCCTCTCCCCCTGTTATTGTATTCTGTTTCTGTCTCCTTTTGTCTCTCCCTCCTTCACAATTAGTTTTTTTCCTCTTTCTTTCTCTCTTTCGTCTTCAATTTCCTTTTCCCTTTGGTTTTCTTTTGCCAGGCTGCCCCCTCCTAATGCCTTTCATGCTTGTCACAAACTCATCTTCTGCTCTGTATTAGGCATCTTCCCTCCTCCTACGTCCATCCTTTTTCTTTTAATTGCTTTTTTACTCTCATTATCTCTCAATAACCATTCTGTCAAAACTAACTGCACTATCTTGTCAAATCAAAAGGTTGTTTGTATTCAACAAACTTAAAAAACGGTATTGCCGTTAGAAAAATATGTCTAGCAAATGTTGAAATAAAAAAAGGTAATGGAGAGATTAATAAACATACATACTGTATAATAATCATGGAGTACAAGGACACATATGTTTTATCAACGCCACGCCCCCTTCGTAGTTGCTTCAAGACTGGCCTAACTAGTTAACAAACCAACCAACCAACTAACTAACTAACTAACTAGCTAACTAACTAGCTCGCTCACTCACTCACATTTTTTTAAAAGCACACCACCCTCTGAGTTTGGACTACCTGGCTACCATCTGGTAGCTTTAATTCTACATAATGCTGCAATAAGTTATTGCCTAAGTTCTGTATTTAAGTGGCAAATGGTATGTGTGTGTGTTAAATTAAACATCCCTTGTAGAATCGGCTAAATGTGAATTAGTTCCATGAGGTGCTTTAGATTAAAGATACCTTTTTGACAAAGTGAAAGATTATGGAGATTAAGTGCAAGTATGTAAGGAGTAGGAAAATATATTTTAACTATCTTCATATTCATTCCTTCAATTTGGTCTTCCCCCAGGTATTTCTTTCTTGAAATAGTCCCTTCAGCAGGGATGTTACCCAAGTCTGCAGCACAGACAGCCTGACACTGTACCCTCTACTTAACTGGTTCTTCTCTCTGCTTCTTCACCCCACACACACAGCAATGAGTAACCTGACCTTCCAGATAACACCAGACTCCAACAAGGACAGCGAGACCATCCAGATGGGTCGGGACCTCAAGCTGTCGTGCCATGTTGATGCCACCCCACAGGACAAGGTCAACTACACCTGGTACAAGAACGGTGCACCTGTTTTCAACTCGGATAGCCTGATCTTGTTGCGCAGTGACCCAGACATGGCACCCGGCACCAGTAGCTTGGAGATTGTTGACATGAAGTTCAGAGACTTGGCTACCTACAGCTGTGTGGCGAACTTCCCCGGCAGCAGGGTGCCAGAGCTGCGTGTGGATGTCAACATCTCTCAGAACAGTGGTGAGGTTTTCCGTTCATTTTTCATGTTTTATCGCTGTCAGACCGGGACAAACTTCCGTTAGTGTCTCTCTGTCAGTTAATGTGCTCCAAAAATCCTTTGATTAGTCAGATGATGATGGTTCGAGGCATGTTTTTGAAGGATTTTTGTTTTAAGCTGACTGCATCCAGATCTGAACACACAGTCACTGTCAATTTGTTTTAGGGCTTTGTGTAACTGTGCGTTTGTGTGCTTTATTTGTGGTTAATTATAATGTGAGCACTTAATTACTGAGCAGTTATCTTTTTTTACTGTTCCTGTGTTGCTTTAAACTGTGATTGTCCAATAACATTAGCGTGGTAAATTTCAGTTTATTTCATTTATTTGTATTCCCCGTCTGTCTCTGTTTTACAGTCTCTCTGTTCACATCATCTGTCATTGTTAAGTCATGTCCTATCTAGAGTTATTAAACAGTAACATATAGCCCTTTTTTCCAGTCAATTGTTCATTTTATATGCTGTTTATTCTGAAATTGAATTATTCTTATCTATACTTTTACTTATTCATTTATTTTAACAGGGACAGTGCACATTAATCAACATTTGTGTAAATGTGCCAGAGTTAGCCAAGAGGCTATTTTTCATCTGAAGTCCCTGGACAGATTATACCTTTTTTACTACAAGCTACAATAAATAAGAATTTCCTTTGGCTTTTTTGTAATGCAAATTGTATGAAGATTGTTTTCCTTTATTGCAGCAGTTTGAAAAAAAAAAGTCAATTACATAATTGATGGTTCTTTCTGTTTATGTAGAGAGTGTATTTACACTTTTCTCTCTATTATTTTCTTTCTAACCCTGCCCTTTCCTTCCCTGCAGTCTCTCCTCCAGTGTTGGCTCTTCCACCAGGAGGTCAGGTGGTGAACGTTCGGGAGGGAGGTAACATCGACCTGGTGTGCTTGGTGGTAGAAGGCAAACCCCGTCCACCTATACTGTGGTCACGGATGGAAAAAGACCTGCTAATGTCGTCAGGGGCAACCACGATGGAGACACTTGATGGCCGCTTGATGCTAAGGAATGTGAGCCGGGACATGATGGGGGCGTACCGCTGCCAGACTGCTCCGTACAATGGACTTAACATCAAACGCAGGGAGGCACAGGTCCAACTCAATGTGCAGTGTAAGTGTGCATCAGATAATAACAACTCAAACTACAACAACATACAAACTGTGGATGTCAAGCAGCAGAAGGACAGGGTCACTTGCATGTGTATCAATGTAAATTAATCCAGATTGGTTAGAGCTGCTTTTAAATACTGTTTCTGCTGCATTTAGTCTACTATTAAGATAAGACAGGATAATATAAAACTTGATGATGATCCCATAGGTATCATTAATTAGTCATTTGAGCTAAACTTAGGAAATATAAAATATGCAGTAGCAATGTGTAAAATAAGTGTGATATATACTTGTTTTTTTAATGAAAATAATAGTTTAAAGGCTCTAACAGACATAATTCAAACAAAGTTATTCCTAATGGTACCTTTTGCATAGGCCTCTATACACCTTAAAACAATTTCTTTGTTGTTATGGTAATATCAGAGATCCCTTAAAACACTTTTATTTTTGCTCCACACTCAATTGTGGCATAATCGTCACAATTTCCTCAAAGCCCTAAAGACAGATACAAAAAAATGTATGGTAATGTAAAGAGTGCAAAAAGGGAGTGTAAAAGAAAATGAGGACACACCTCGATGGCTTTAAGGCTGTTTTCTCTATATCTTTCCCATCCACTTCGTGAACACTCCAGACGGGACTGTCATTATAAATCTCCCGCAGGATGGGCTTTGAGTAAGGAATGAGAGCTGTTTTGCTAAAAAAACACACAATTGTAATGCCGTCTCCATTCCCAAAAGGTTACCCACTTTGTTTGGATTGTAATGGCGCTAGTGACTGTGGAGAGCTTCACGTGACACATTTGATTTACATGTTTCTACTAAAAAAATTGCACATGGTAAAATCACTTGGCACCCACATCTGCATGTACATCCCCTGCTGTTACAGACTTTGAGCACTTTCCAACTTATAGCTTTGGTATAACTGAAAAACATGTATTTTACAGAAACTAACTGTTCTGCTTCCTGAAAAACAGAATAGCAGTAGGTTACAAATACATTATTTGCCTCATCTAGGTATAAACTAGCACTGGATGTTCTTTATTAAGCATCTCGTAACAAGTATGTAAAATCAAACATTGCAGACATAATCCTCAGAGAGGGTTGGTTGAGGCTGACCTTCTTAGTTGCATCACCCTATTATTCTGAATAAACACAGACACACACTTTTAAGCACTTTTAAGTTGTATCAAACATTTATTAGTTGAACATAATAATAATATTAATAATACATTTTATTTGTATAGCACACTTTAAAAACAACGTCATCTCAAGGTGCTTCACAATTGAATTATTAAAAGTTATCTAAGAAACATATTTAATAAAAACATTTGAAAATAAAATACATACAAAACTAGGGAGTTGAGTTAAAACAAAATATATAGATTGGAACCTGCTGTGTGTCACAGCAGTGTATTATTGCATTGGTAAGTGCTCGGTTGTATTCAATAAATGTATGTTAACAGGACTCAATTCAACCCTTTCAGCACCCTCCTCGTGTGCACAAGGTCAGGCCTTTTAGGCTGCAATTAATTAAAGTAATACAATGTACAAGATATAACAATTACACAAGGATACAAAAAGAAAGAGCAGTACATCTAATGACTCAAAAGGAGAGGGATATGAAAGGCTAAGGACTGTATTCATTAAGGAACTGGAGCTATGAAACGTGTCCTTTTTCAACCAAAGTGCTGATAAACTCAGAAATTCAACATTTATTATGTCTGAATAATCTTAACAAAAGTTAATCTATATGGATAATATTGTCAATATATCTGGATATATTAAGACTGTGTATAAAATCCTGTACATATTTTAGTATATTATATTTATGTATATTTGAATTATATATAATTCAATTATATATATTTAAATTATATATATTATATATTTTAGAATCTTGAATCTTGAAAAATATGGTCACATGTGTAAGGGGTCAGAGTCATTGCTGCTATAGCTGCATTTGTTAACTTGCCAAACAACCAGAAGAACCAATAGCCACTAAGCAGTACATGTATGTTTTAATTTAATGTTAAGACTATTTATTTTACTGAAGATCACAACCAACTGTGTGTTTGCCTGAGAGTACACGGCCTGTTCTTGGACCAATTTCCCACTGAAATTCTTGATGAAAAACCCCAAATTACATCTCCCCTTTTCTACTGTCTCCTCTCCTCAACTCTCCTCTCCTATCCTCTCCTCTCCTCTCCTCTCCTCTCCTCAACTCTCCTCTCCTCAACTCTCCTCAACTCTCCTATCCTCTCCTCAACTCTCCTCAACTCTCCTATCCCCTCTCCTCTCCTCTCCTCAACTCTCCTCTCGTCTCCTCTCGTCTCCTCTCCTCTCGTCTCCTCTCCTCTCCTCTTATCTCCTCTCCTCTTCAAGAAGGATTTACGGGGCTTGCTAATGCAGGCGGGGCGGAAGGGCAACACTATGCTCTGCTGTCCTCACTGGCCAAGTCTGATTAATGGACCAGGTGGCCACCCCACTCTGGATGGAGAGGGAAACAGAGAGATGAGACAGATACATGAGCAGGACAGATGAAAAGAGAGAGAAACGGTGTTTAGAGATAGCTTGAATCAGGGATAGGGATGGCAAGAAGTTACAAAATGTGTGATTAGTAGGTTAGAAAGATGGAACAAGAGAGAAACAGATTGGCGATGTTAAAAGTGTTTAGCTAAGGACAACAAAAGTGTGTAAAAACAAATCTTTTCACTCTTCCTCTCCCACTGCCCCTCTTTACACCCCACCACTATTTTACTTTATTTATTTCATCAGGTTTGCTTTACCTCCTTCCATTAACCACGAGATGGTGGAATAAGATATATGTAATGGATGCATGCTCTCATTTTTTATGGCAGATATAATTAGGAGGATATGCAGATTATTGCCACTGTAGCCACTCCCACTTCCTCTTCTCTCCTGGTATCCCTTCTTTCTTTGCCCACTTTACCTCCAAGAAAAGTGTCTGTTCTTCCTCATTGCCATTCCTATCATCATCAATCAGCTAACTGCTGGCCATGAGAGAACACCTCTCTCTGTCTTGTCATTCCCTTTCTGCATCCTGCATTCTCCCATCCTCTCCCATACTCAATCATCGACTTCTCTCACTTTCACACTGCACTTTCCCTATCATTTGTCTTCCTCATTGTCCTCTTCTTCAAGACCTGTTTCTCTCTACATTCGTCCCAACTCCTCCCTCTCTCAGTCTCATGTAAATTGATTTTTTTCTCTGTGTACTGTACATGTTTTGCTTGGTCAGTGTTGCATTTTTCATCATCAGAAGACCATAATCTATGTGAGCACACCTTCACTATCTGTCTTATCGAATGCAGAATGGATTCCATCTGGTTCCATCCAGATGGAATCCATTCTGCATTCGATAAGACAGATAGTGAAGGTGTGCTCACATAGATGATGGTCTTCTGATGATGAAAAATATTGCAGTGTCGTGTAGTGAGTCCCCAATGAGTAGTAAACAAATTAGAACAAATGCTCAAGAGAATTTGAAAAGTTGTATTTGAAAATAAACAAGCTTCACAACTTAAAAAGTGAGACATAATGCTGAGGAACTTAAATAATTGTTGAATTTAATATTTACGGTCATGTAAGGGGTTTGTAATAACTTGCCTCCCAATTCTTCTGGGGAACGAATGATTTATAAACTGCTCACAAACCAGCTCACAACACCACCCCCCCCCCGCCTTTATTTCCATCACCATCGCTCCACAGTTTGCCTGCTTTTCCTTACCCTTGCCACCTGTTTTCAAAGTCAGCCATCAGTATGCATATGTGTGTCTATAAGCAGGAGTCGGAGTCGGACCTTTGACCTCCCACTCACTCACTCCTCTGCTGCATCACTTGTTTCTGTTGTAGCTGCAGGAAGTATAAGCAACACATTCATTTCAAGAGGTCAGGAAACATAATATTGACTGGAAACACAATTTATATTCTCATTACAATTAAAATAAACGTATGAAGCTGTATGTATGTTGCATCCTCATGTTGGGATGAACACAGCTGAGACATATTTGGTGGTTTTCCAGTCATGTTAGCATGCAGGTGCTTACTCACGGTTCTCTGACTGGAGTGCAAACACAGAATGGCAAACTGATCAGTTTGGCCAAGCTATAGCAGAACAAACTAAACCGTGAAAGGTTCACTATGAGAGATTTGATAAGCTTTGTGTTCATTCATCTCAGCAGTTTTGTGTTTGTGCTATGGGTTACAATTTGTTTTCTTTACCTTTTTGAGAATGTGAAAACAGTATGAGAATCAATCAATTTAACTTTACTGGCATGATAAATCATATCATAATGTTAATAGTAAAAATCCAGCTACTGTAAGTCAGTGCAGTCTTCTCTCCTGCTCCTTACATTATCCCCCCCCCCCCTTTCTCTCCTCCTTACTCTAACTCATTCTCCGTCTATATTACAGGCATAACACAGATTAGACTTAATTACATATCTGTGTCTGATAAACTTGATTCACAAGAGACTCTAGTCGTGCTGCTTCACCCCTCGGGGCCCTAACACCAGATCTCATCACTGTTAGTCCGGCAATACCGTCATTAGAACCTTATCTATTATCTACATGATTTGCCAAGGGTGAAAAGCTGTGATTTGTAGCAGAGTCATTTGGCTGTCTTGTGTCCGGGCTGACCCCAGGGCAACAACAGCTAGTCAGTCATTAACCGCAGAGCTACACATCCCTGCTGACAGGTTAATTACAGCTGGTTAGGATAGGATAGCAGCGGTGTTGGGACTGCCTTGTAGAAATGCCTGATCCCTTGTGGAAATAACAGTTGCTCTGTGTCAGATTATTTGTCAAAACTAATGTTTTCTAACGCTGTGAGGAATTCTTCACTGCAGAGGGAAAAAAGATAATTAGACATGGGTGATTGTGGTGTTTATGTACACCGTTGCAGTGCATTTTGCATTATTCAAAGTTCTAGCTGAAATATCCTTTTCAAACTGTTCTTCTTCCATTTATCTCCATCTCTCCTTTTATGATGGAAATAGATTTGAAAATGGAAAATGATTACTGATAATGGGTTGTACATGGATACAGCCCAGCAGTCAATTACGTTATCAAACTGTCAATAGTAACTGTTTTTGCACACTTGTAAATCACTGTTACCACAAGAGGACCTAGACTCGAGCATACAGTCATTAATGTGAACGAAATAAATTAGGTTGATGGTTACAGTAGTTTATGCTATTAGCTACGACGGACTGACATAGACGATTTCGCAATGTCACATTTATTGACATTGCAGGCTGAACAGTATAAATCAACAAACGTTGTAAGTAAACTGAAACTCGATTCTGTTGTCTCCTCAGATCCTCCCATACTGGACCCAGGCGACCCGGATGTGCGTTCAAGGAACTATCAGATGGTGACCCTGAGGTGTACGGTGATTCGCTCATTCCCGACACGCCTTATAGACATCCGCTGGTTCCGTAATGGCGAAATAATCCGCATGCCCATGCCAGACACTAAGGAGAAGCCAGAGCTGAAGTTTAAGCTGGACCCCACCAACAACGGCTCGTATGAGTGTCGAGTCACCAATAGTGCAGGGACATCAACATGTGCATTTAATGTCTCTGGTAAGCAAATGACATGAGCCAACTGTGAACTGCTACACCTGAAAATAATCTGTCTAAATCAATGTATCTACTGGTAATCCATCTCTCCAACTCTTTCATGCTCAACATGGTGCATGTATCTGTTCTTTATGATTAATGTATCAATGATATGTTGTTCTCTCTCCCTCCCTCATCTCACAGCACAACCCTACAATGCTGAGTTTTACTTCGACACACCCAACCCAGTGCGAATTCAAAAAGGAAACAACTATTCCTACAACCTGCAGTGGACACAGAGAGATCCTGAGGCCACGGATCGTATCATAGGTTACTGGATTAATGTTCGAAAGGTAAAGGAATACTGCACATATACATAGGTATACATCCCACACTCCCATGCATGCAAGCCTATGAAAGCACATGTACATACAGTACGCACAGCTAGCCAATACACATGCCCACTCACATGTAGCACACATGTAGCAACTAGCTAACTTCTGGTTCAGCCCAAGGCAAATTTTGGTCACATGGTTTATTTATTAGGTTTGGTATCACCTTCACTGAACAGACTTGTGTATGGCAAACACACAAACGCACAAGTCCTTGAAGAGGGGAGTATGCTAAGTAAACATGAGGCTTTATGAGCTTGGGCAGTGTCCGGCGTGTGTAGTCAATCAATGGAGACCTGAACTGAATTACAACAATGTCACAGCCTCTCCTCTCCTCTCCTCTCCTCTAGCTTTATTTGTGACGGTCATTTTCTTTACAAGTTTTTACCTTAAAATAACCCATTTACTTCCAGATTACTCTGATGCAATTCCTACCAATTGTTAAAAATATGTTGTATAGAGGTCCGCTGTTTACAGAAATCTACCTGCAATAAGCACATCTTATAAGGCTTTCAATATATCAGAATGGATAGAAAAGGGAGCAGGGCCAAACATAACTTATTGTGCACCAAAGCAAAGAGAATAAAAAGATAAAATGGACATTGTTGTTTGCTCATCAAATTGGGCCCATTATCAAAACATAAATAAAGGTAGAAATATATTTTTTTCCATTCTTCGGTTCCTTCTTCTCCCCTCTTATATTTTCTCCTCTCTTCTTGTTCCCCCTTGTCATGAGTAGCAATCTCCGTCAGCTCTCATCACTCAGTCCTATCAAATGCGGACTCCATTGTCCACTCTTCAGTACTCAGAGGTGTAAAGATGAGATGCAGGCCCTAAAATGCCCCATTAAGGGGTTGCGCTTGATTTCCCCCGAACTAAGGTTATGCCTAACCATCCTTTCAAACTTTTCACATACGTCCACATGACTTTGCTGTCTCTGCAAGATTCTAATTTGGAGAGCCAGACAAAAGCGTGTTCACGGTGTTGTAACCAGCAACAAGACCAGACCAACGTCTCTCATTTCTCTAGTTGGTTTAAGAGAGCACTTGTTTTGTTTCCATATTTTATCTTTGCCTCAAATGATTGACTTTGAATTGATGTGACTTCCTTTTCACAGCCTGTGAGTGGTGTTTAATTAGTCTCACAGTCACAAATTTCTATTTAGAATTACCTTACACTTAAATAACCTCTTACAATATCGCACTAACATCACCTTAAATCAGCTTTTTTGCCTGTAAACACAACCAATTCTCCCAGGGAGATATATCGTATAGATTGTATCTGTCACAGTTAACATATACATAGCTGTTCTATAAACAAATAAATACTGTTTAAAAACTGACTGACTAATGCTACTAGTAATGACCGATATTATGGCTGATTATAAGGATTTGATCTTCCAGAAACTCAAATACTTTTCTTCTAACCCCAACCAAACCCCTCCTTTAAACCGTTATTTAGGCCCTCTGAGCGGGCCCCTGAACAAAGTGTGTAGCCTTTGTCCACAACAGGAGAGAAACCTCAGGCCACCCTCTTGTTTTGTTTCAAACATCTATTCATAGATGACTGGCCTTGAGTCAGAAGACAGGAAGGATAATAGTGAGTTATACACAACTAGCTGGGGGTAGGTGTGTGTGCATGTGTTTGTGTCTGTGTTTGAGACACTGAAATAGGGGATATGCTGGGTCTGCCAGCTTGCTTTTGTGTGGATGAATGGCTAATTCCCCTCCTCCTTTAAGACTTGGCTGCTTACCTCATTAAGTAAGACTCTACAGGGAGACCGAAAATGAGCACTGGCCTATGCACATTTGATCGCATGCATCAGCTCTCTCTCTCTCTCTTGTTCCCTCTTCCTTTGTCCTCTGTCCATCGTCCAATATCTTTCACACACACACCATCTCTTCCAATGTTCTAATACTTCCTTTTCCTTTGCCATCCCTCAGCCTTCACGCTCCCACTTGTGCTCCTCTCTCTCGCTTTCCCTCTACCCTTTCGGTTTTTCCTGCTCAGATGTACTGTAGCAGACTAAATGGGATTTAATGTTGGTGAGCCGTGCATCTGAATTGCATTGATAAATAATTGTCTTTATGCTGGCAGTGTTCAAATAATGAGTAAGTGACAGTTTTGTACTTATTATATTTGGTTTAAATGTAATTTAATTTCAGGGTTTTCACCTGCATGTTTTTACGTGGGTAAGAGAGCGGTAAAAATGAGAAGGAAAAAAAAGGAAAAGCAGACGGTGAGATTGAGCGGGGAAGTGAAGGGGTGCGAAAGAGAGAAATAAGATGCAAATTAAAGAAAAACAGCGAATCTCACTGGTCCTCTCAACTATTAAATAGAGTACGAGAACATTCAAATGTAATACCATCTCAATTTCACATCCCATCTATTTCTGCAACACTCTCCAGCTCATCCTCTTAACGCCCTGACACTCTATCTTTTTAGCACATAAGATGATGTATGGGGTCCCAGAGGAGACATGAAGACACAGAGGGGAATTAAAGAGGACTCAGATCAGTTCATAGAGCACTTCTCTTCACTCTGGGTCTGAGCACATGCCAATCATTTAGTGTGTCCATTGCTTGTTGCTCCTAAGTAAGTGGTTGTGTTGTATAAATGGGGCTTTGTGAATAAATATATGAATGATGGGCTAATGTATTCATTATCTGTTGGTGTGTGTGTGTGTGTGTGTGTGTGTGTGTGTGTGTGTGTGTGTGTGTGTGTGTGTGTGTGTGTGTGTGTGTGTGTGTGTGTGTGTGTGTGTGTGTGTGTGTGTGTGTGTGTGTAATTACATGTTTTTTTCTCCATATACTCATTACCAGGCTGACAAACCATCATTTACACTTCTCAACTATGTTTGGTTCTCTCTGCAGGGGTTTTCCCTGTATGGGAATTAACAGAGTTAACAGGCCCGCCTAGTTTCATCAAGTTGTCCTAACAACCCTTTTCTACACCCCGACAGTTTCCTAAAGAGTAGCGTAATTAATGAGAGAAAATTAACATGTGATGATTTTACCTTTTTGCAACAAAGGAGGAAGCTTTGCTAAGCCGTAGCTAATTTTAAAGACCTTTCCTCTGAAACTGTGTACTGGCGTAGGAGGCTGTCTGTCTTAAGAATCACACCTTTTTAATTAATTGAGTGCATGTCCCATGCACATGCATGGAGAGGAGTATCATGTGAATATCATGCTGCTTTCAGATTAATTTAATTTAGTAGGGTATCACATGAATATACAAATTATGCTCTGAAAAGCAGCTACAGATTTGTTCACAATCACAACAGACGGAAAATGTATAAAATAAATAAATGTTATGTCTGAGTCTGTTTTAAGCCTCACAGAGAGAATTAGCACTTTATGGGATCTTTCCTTATACGTATGCAATTTCACCACCTCTAAAAAATACCTTTCACTCTATAGCATTTCCCAATTTCTTTACCAACAATGTACAGTATAACAAAACATTTACATAATGTATGCCTGTGGAGTTATTAAACCCTGATACCGACATGCAGTTCAAACCTTACGGACACACAGCATCTACTGTAGTGAAGCATACACTTTATGTACACATATACTGCACATCAGAGAACTAATCAAAATCAAAAATGTCTCAGTTTGTACTCTTCTACTGTGTTGTGGCTTTCTTATTGCTTTTTCTGCCTTCACACACTTTTCTACTCCCATCTCTCAATCTTTCCACCTCATCTTCTATATCGACCACTCGTCTGCCTGTGGCTATGGAGTTGTGTATTGTGTGTTTCATTGAAGCAGTGCGGCTATTAGCTGACCTGGCTTCAGATCATAAGGTACAGTCTCACACAGTCACACAAACTCTCCTGTGCAAACACACATCCCCATTATCATATATATGAGAAATTAAGAATATTCATGATGAATTAGAGTTGTACGTTAAATCAAATGCATGAATCATTTATGTACATAATCAACCTCCCTATGCAGATGTACTCATATATGCAAGCACTCATAAATACAGAAAGAGTACACACATGATGACTACTTCACTTACACACACAATGTCAATGAATTGCTGGATCAATCATGAAAGGGATCCATTAATAGAGGATAATAGAAAAATGAACCTCACCCTCCTTAGTGTTTGAAGAAGCCGCCTCCTCTCATGCTGTCAGTCAACACTGTGCACACGCACGCACACACACACACACACACACACACACACACACACACACACACACACACACACACACACACACACACACCCTGACTGTGTTACAATCTCATGGCTGCTCTCTCACCCTCTTTCACACATTCTATCTTGTTGTCTCTTTGTTGACAGCTGATAAAGACACAGCTGAAAAGACTGTCTGGCTGAAATGTCTGAAAGCATGTGGCACAGGAACACACACACACACACCCACAAACATCAAGAGAATTATAAGGACTTCCATATTCGTTTATCACCACCCCTCTGCCTCTGTAAATATGTCACTCACTCACTTGGGTCACTTCTGACTGTCTCATTCTGGTGGTCCTTTCTCTACATGCTGCATGTCTTTTCCCCCTTCACGACCCATTCCCTGTCACTCACATACAACACACAAACACACATATGTTGTCAGATTACCCATTGAGGGAGACAGAGAGAGGGAGACGGAGTCTTTTAACTGCAGTGGGTGCAGCTGAATTCCTGTGAGTCACACTTCAGCACTTTATTGATCCAGTGTGTGTTTTCAGATCCACAGAATGTGTGTGTGTGTGTGTGTGTGTACACAAATCCACATTCCACTTCTAAACTCAGACTCCTCAGCATTATTACCTCATCTCTCTGTGCTAACACACACTCTATGCATATTACATGAGCATAGCTTTTATATCCTGCTATATTTCACATAATTATGCATATGCTGTATGAGAAATGTGTAAATGTTTATATGGATGAATGTAAGCACAAGTGGGTGTTAAAAGGGCACAATACATTTTACAGTATAACTGCTACAATGCAAAATACACTATACAGTATATTGTCAGTTATGGTCGATTAACTTAGCAAGTACTTACAATGCATATTGTACACTGGAAGCCATCAGTCAGTATAGTCAACAATATCAAAAGTCATGGTCAATGAAAACTGCACTCAGAACCTTCAAATTTCACAGATTTTGGAAAAGATTCTTTAGGAAGAGGAATACAATAGAAAAAGGTATAAAGTTGTCATTATCTTCTTGGATTACCTCCTACAGCTCTGCACGTAGCACCCTGCTTCCTTCCAGCCTTTTCCTTTTAATACAGTTGGCCATCTACACTTCTTCATTATGTGTTAAAGCATGATGCTAGCAGAAAGTAGTGTCATACACTTATACTGTACCTGACTGAGCATTGCATGTTACTTTATTCTTCTAGTCCATTAGATATCAGAGCAAAAATATATATCAGCAGCTTTTTACTGCAATACATGACATGATGTTCTTCCAAATTGCAAACAAAGATTTGACATTGAAAAAAAAGAAAACATCAAAAGAAAAACAACAGTTTTCCAATGATTTGGCCTTTGACCCCGAGACAGATTTTATTTGTTTGTTTTGTTTGAAAAATATGTGTTTGTGATCCATCAAATTGTCCAGTGATTCCTATCGTAGGGACACAACAATATACAGTACACTATTTATACTTTTTTAATGCAGGACTTTAACTTACAATAAAGTATATTGTTTTATCGTGGTTCTTAACTTAATGATCTGATGTCTTATTACACGATTGGATTTACCAGTGTCCTTTATAGTTATCAAATCCTTAGACTGATTAATTGATTTATTTGGTCGCTAAATAGATATTTACATTGCATCGTTCTTTCAGCAGCTAGGGGTCCAGAACTTAGCCATGCAAACTTTAACAAGACACATCGCTGTTTGAGAAATCGAAACCTGTGACCTTTCCTTAATGTGATGGTCTCTTAAACCAAAAGGTTGCTTTGCTGCGTCTTTATTGAAAGATGCAGTATCCTGTTATATAATCCTGCTCAAAAGTTAGATCTCTTTATTCATTCCGTGTTAGCTGATGCTGCTAACTAGAGAGATATCTGCTGGGTGCAATTTTGGAATCAACCAAAAATATGTGGATCACACCCACTGCATTACAACAGGTGTCCTGTGTGCAAAGGTCATAGCCATCAAGTAAACGTCTTGTGCTCAGAATTTGCTAGGAAAATGTAAATGGGGTAGCAGATTGGAGGGTTCTTTGACACAATTAACATTTATTCAAAAAGTGAACATTATTTTGTTATTTGTTTAGAGAAAATGTGTTTTTTATCTGGGAGAAAAGATTATATCGCCTCGGTTGCTGTTGTGCATGGCGGGAGAAGGATGTTCCATGACTGGCAAGAGAGGGTGAAAAGTTGGAAAAACTGAAAACTGGAAACAGACAGACTGGCACTGTGAAAAGAAGATTTAACAGCCATTAGTGGCATAGGGCCTGGTGAGGAAGGGAGGATTTGATTCCAAGTGTGTTGCCCAGCACAAACTTGCAGAGACCAGGCTGTGGCTGCCATATGGGTCTGGCATAATAATTGGACTCATACCAAATGATATGCAGCCTGTGCAGGAGTCAACATGGTCTTGTCAATAGAAATGATTAGCACAGTCTAGCTAGAGTTTGAATTCGTGGTGGGAGCAGTAGACATCCAACTGGAATAGCTCACTTGAACTTGAGTGTCTGAGGACAGGAGAAAAAGCAGAAGTCACCGTGGAGATGTCAGAACATACAGTACTGAAGCAATTATAGGGAAAATAATGGCATGCATCAGTGTATGACCTGCCAAACTGTTACCTATTTGGACTGGAGTAGCTGAATAGAAGCAGCACAACAACAATGCACTTTATCATTGTTATTTATACACTTTCCACAAATATCCCACAAAAATGGAATAGACAAAAATGGTTAATATAACTTTTTTATACTTTGCTTTTTGATCTTTTATATCAATTGTACGTGTGTTGGAAGGGCTTTGTGCCTGTGGACATTTACCACACACACACACACACACACACACACACACACACACACACACACACACACACACACACACACACACACACACACACACACACACACACAGAGGAGACGGCGGAGAGAACGCGCTCCGAGGTGTGGTTAAACTTTACCCGTCTCGATGCTTGTTGCCTAAAGTGCAATAAGAGTTTAGCATGTAAGGGCGGTAACACGAGCAATTTGTCTAAACATTTAGCAAAAGTGCACCACATTCAGACGGAGGAATGTACCGGGTTCCACTGTATTTCTAGTAGCTCTGTAGCCCCATCCACGAGTAACGTTTCCACGTCAGGTGTTATGTATGCTAGCAGCAACACACGGAGTTAACTACATTATACAAACATGGGCTAATGATTAGAGGTAACTGAGTTATTTATTATGTTAGTTTTGTTCACAATTCGTTTAGTTAGTTTACCTTATTTTTTTCTCCAAAATAACCGATAAAAGTACAGTTAAAAGACCGGACCGATAAGCGCTATCGATAAAAGTAGTAGTAGCCTACCGTTAAAACCTTAACGATACCCATCCCTACACACACACACAAACACACACACACACACACACACACACACTCACACAACTACGTCCACTTATGCTGCATGCATTACCTGATAATGGCATGCTGTGGGTGTACTAAGGTGTTATGCTGGAGTGGCTGACCTAATGCATTAGATTGAGCTCACTGCAGGTCTTTAAGTAGCTGGGATCAGAGGCAGATACACAGCTAATGGCTCATTCTCTCTGTGGGTGGAATAACACAGCGTTAGCTCTATTAAAAGTGGTGCTAACTAAAAAAAAAAACACCTAACTCAACTTTCAAAAAATGAGGAGACAACTACTGGACTACATTTACATCATAGCCATTTGTATTTCCGTATTCGTTTCTGTAATAAACAGCCAATCCTTTTTTAAAAGCTTAGGATTTAAACTGCAAAGTGAAATACATATTTCTTTAGATTATACTGATACAGGTTATATTTATTGAGTCTATGTTTTCAGAGCTTTGGGCAATATTACATTGTGTTGCATATCACAGTAACATCATTTTTTAAAGGAGAGTATGTTTCGGTGGTAATTCTTTTGACAGCTGTTTAGCTTGAAACAAGTATGCAGTCCAAGATAGCTACAATCCAAGTCTTGGGGTATTTTGACTGGCTGTGAGCCCAGAACTGGCTGTACTGTATGCCCATGGGAAATTCCATTGACAGTAAATTGAAAGGCCAGAAAGCGTGTGCAATAGGAAGAGTAAAATAATATGACGATATAGTGATTCATAAGCTTTGTGTAAATAAAGGATTGGTGCTTCTGCAATACGAAGCAAATATCTTTGATCAGTCTTTTAGAGAAATGCTTTGATCATATCTGAGCAGTAGGCATTTCTGTCAGGAGGTTCACTTTTTCTGTTTATATAAACGTACATCATCACTGTAATTCTAGGATCAGTTAATATCACTGTGAGAATATTAACAGTTGGAGATGAACTGAAGCTTTGTGTCTGCATATCAACATAACATGGTAGAGATAAAAGTGAAGAAGACATAAAGAAAAATAAACGTTTCTCCGTATGATACGGGGCTGTGGCTCAGTGGATACTGTGCTGGACTTCAAATCAGGGGATAGCAAGTTCGAGTCCCACTGCAGTCAGCATGTCGTTGTGTCCCTGGCAAGACACTTTACCTCAAATTGCTCTTGTGGGGATTGTCCACAGTACTGAATGTATGTAAGTCGCTTTGGATAAAAGCGTCTAACAAATGACATGTAATGTAATATAATGATATCCTGGTGATCATCTTTTGTTGTGCAATGTATTTTCTTTGTACTGTTTTATGCAAGCTTTTGCATATTTGTTAAGTATACGTTTTAAAATGTCTACATCTTCCCTGCTCGTGTGTGTGTCCCCTCTCTAGAACAAGCAGAATGTGCTCTCAAAGCAGATAGACCTCAAGGGCAAGGAGCCAGAGAAGGGTGTGCTGCTGTCCCACACCATATCAGACCTGAGGATCCCTCTGTCCTACGAGGTCCGACTGGCACCCATCACCACCTACAGCACCGGGGAGTACGCCAGTCGCATCATACAGTACTCAGAGCGTAAGTCTTATTGTAAACTAGTAACTACCAAACATTTTTGTAACGTAATTATCTTTCATTTTTAGATACATATTGACAATGTACAAAGCATGTTGACTAAGCATAGCTGATTTTGTTTCCAAACAGCCTACACCTACCCAAGACCTTCAGGTGAGACTTCTCTCTTAACTTCAATCTTCTGGTTTTTAAGGTTAAGCCTGGTGTTATGTCATGATTGAGGATAGGGTGTTGAAGTCAGGAGTGCACGTTCACATTTTACTGGCTAATTAAGCTTTAATGGTGAAATCAATATCAGCACCATTTTGTAAAGGCAAAGTTTGGCATGACCCTGCCTTGTTTTTTATTACATCTTGAGAGTGGGGGACAGTGGAGAGAAATAAATAAAAGGATCAGTGTCATTTAATATGTCATCTAAGTTTGGTAACATTAGAACGATATGAGACCGGTTAATACAAAAGGTTAATGAGCAAAATACTTCAAACACACTTGACGATACTACCTTAAAGGTGTGCCTCCTTTATCCCTGTTAGCTCCCCTCTCGCAAGTCCTTCACTCCCTGCTTCTCATCCTCACTCTTGCAATCCTTCTCTCTTTACAGTAAATTGCATCTTGTCTATTTTCTTCATTAAGAGACACCCCACATTTTTTCTGGCAGGAGTGGCAGTTGGCTCAGCCAGGGTGAAGCAATTAAAACAACAACAGATTGGAACAGACTGCGAGAACAACAGTGCAAATAGAAAGGAGCCCATGTAGTGGGGCTGGGTGTGAATAGTAATAGATTAGCTGCAGTGCTGGAATTGGGCCGGTACTCACCGGTACGCAGTACCGGCACTTCTGGTTCTGACCCATGGAGTACCGGTACTTCTTGCTCAGTACCGGCATGCTGGCGGTACTCCGGTACTCATGCACCGTGCCAGTACTCAACACTCTCCCGCCGTTCTTATTATACATCCATATATATATATATACAGCCGCCCGGTACTCAGTAGATGCGTCATGAGGTGCCGAACGGACATTCTCATCGCTCTAACCGCTGGAGTTTCACAGCGGCTGTCAGCTGTTTACTCCTGTCATTCAAACAGAACGTGCTGGAGAGGGGGCGGGGCTTATCTTCTCCATGTAAATACTGTGGTGGAAACGACTATGTCAAAATTAACCTATTTGACCGTGATTTAATAGTAATACACGTTTCAAAATAATAATAATAATAATGCCGAAGTAACAACATACTGAAAACTGTTAGTAAAACCATGTTTTAATGCTTTACAATTTACATACCTAGATGCACGTGTGTTGTGTTTATGCAGTGCAACTCCCACCCAGTGGGTGGCTATGTAGAGTGATAGAACAGAGCAGGCACGCCCCCGAGAGAAGGAAAGCAAGTCACGTCACAAATTAGCATTTCTAAAATGTTAGCTTGGATTAATAAAAGTGCAAAAAGACAGCGGTTGTCGCCGGAAGAAACTTCAAATACAGAGAATGCTGTGCCTGTGTTGGAAATTGTGTCTGATGGGGAGCTTTCTTTGGTTGATCCTCCTGCTCCAAGTTCTAGTGCATTAGCATTAGCACTAGCTCCGCCGCCTCCTCCAGAGCCTCTAACGTTAGCTGCTGCTGGCGCAACTGCCACCACCAACACCGGGCAAAGCGATGCACCTGACTGCTGGACAACGGACCAGGTGCAATATTTTTGCAAGACCAATGCATGGCTCCTTCTTAAAGATAAGAAGCTAGGATGTCGGATATGCAGAGATGTCAAATCTTTGGGAATACACACTGGACAAGGACTGAAACTGTCAACTGAATGGGGTGAGTGTGCAGTGTCTCATTTCGGTGTTGACAAGGGCAAACAACAAGCTAGCCTGAGAAAAAAATCAAAGAACATAAAGAATCACAAGCCCATGTAAAAGCTGCTGACATCCTTACATCTGCTTCACGTGAAACTATTCAACATCAAGTGCAGTCTATGCATAAATCTGAATTAGACACCACTATCAGAGTTTTTCGAACGGCATATAAAATTGGCAAACATAGCCGGCCATTCACAGACATGCCAATTGATTTGAATGTACAGAAACTGAATGGGCTGAACGTGGGCAGGGTTTTGCACTCCAATAAAACCTGTGGCGAAATCATCGACCACATAGCTCATGAGCTGAAGAAAAAAATGTCAAAAGACATTACAGAAAACCAAAGAAAACTCTGTGTTTTGGTCGATGAATCTACCACTATTAGTGGTAAAACGGTGCTTGTTGTGTGTCTACGCTCAGCATTAGCTGATGCTGAGCCCGAAACGTTTTTTTTGGGAGCTGATCGAGTTGGATGGAACAACGGCTGATGACATCACAAAGGCGTTAATGGAGTGTCTTGGAAGAGATTTTAACGAGGACTTTTTAGGTCAGTGTTTCGTTTCTTTTGCATGTGATGGGGCTTCAGTCATGCTAGGGAAGAGAACAGGCGTTGCTACCCAGTTGTGTAGTAAATTCCCAAGCCTGTTTGTGTGGCACTGCTCCAATCATCGTCTAGAGCTGGCAGTTGGGGATGTGGTCAAGGAGGTCTCAGGGCTCAATCATTTCCAGATCTTTTTTGACAAACTCTATTCCTTGTTCCATGCCTCCCCCAAAAATCAGAGGCAGTTAGCGCAGTGTGCGCAAGCAGTCGGACAGCGTCTCCTGGTGATAGGGCGTGTTTTGTCCATCCGCTGGGTGGCTTCAAGTGAAAGGAGCATCAGAGCAGTCTGGGAAAACTACCGAGTGCTTCATGATCACTTCACAAATGCTGCAAACGACACGAGCAGGGATTCCAGAGACAGAGCAAAGTACAAGGGCCTGGATGATGTGCTCACATCTGCAACGTTTGTCAGCAATCTGGGACTGATGTACGATGCGCTCACAGAGCTCAGCGACCTCTCTCGGCAACTCCAAAAAAGAGAGATGACACTGCCTACAGCAGATAGGCTCTTAACTCGAGAAATACGAGTTTTTGAATCCATGGTCACCATGCCTGGCCCACACATGACTACAGTTCATACAGCTCTAGCTGAGAAGTCCTTCAAGGGTGTTGCCCTGCGTGAGAATGGCAGGCTTGTACAGATTCATGCAGGTCAGTTTTTCCGCAGTATGGTAGAGAATCTGAGACACAGAATGACTTCCACAACCTCCTCTCATGTCAGCACAAGAGAAATCCCATTACATGGCCGGGAGGCCCGGGACAATCAGCTAATCCAGGACATGAAAGTTATCCATCCTGGAAGTTGGCCTGAAGAGGAGTTAGACGTACAGTATGGGGACGTAGAGGTGCTACGTTTGTGTGAAGTGCTGAAAGTGGACAGAAGAGAGAGACTGTTCAGGGCTTTCGCGAATACAAGGAAACCAGGGCATCCCGTACACCTGCTGCCATGGAGCCTCTACTGAAAGCAGTCCGAACCATCGCTGTCTCCACTAGTGAGTGTGAGCGGGCATTCAGCTGCATGAACGATATCCTTACTGCAAAAAGGAATGCTCTCTCTGTCAGCCGACTGTCCAGCCTGGTTTTCATTAAATGTAATGGACCATCACTAGGACAGTTCAATCTGGAACAGTATGTGAGGTCCTGGCTGGCAAAGGGAAGGAGAAGTGCTGATGAAAGAGCCTGTCCAGCTCCAGCCCCTGATACTGATGTCCCCAAGGCCTTCTGGAGCCTTTTCTAACAATGTGAAGTATATTGCAAAGCAGCTCACCCAGTGAAAAGACTTTTGGCATAATGTGCCGATTTGTACAGATCCTGGAGATAGAAGGACTTCAGACCAACCAGGGAGTTATCTGATCAGCTTGGTGTTCAATGTAACTCTTTACCATGGCTCAGACTTTGTTACTTGCAGTTACAGTTTCTCATTTTAGATTGTGCACATTTTGCATTTGTTTTTACATGTTCTTTGTTCATGCTCTTTATCATTTTTCTGAGTTGGAAAGTTAGATTGCATCATAGTTTACTTTATACATATTTGTATTCTTCAGTGGTGAAGTATATTGCAAAGCAGCTCAGCCATGTGAGAAGACTTTTGGCACTTTTTCGTTTTTCGTTTTCTGAGTTGGAAAGTTAGATTGCATTCAAAATGTACAGAAATACTTAATTTTGTTAAAGCTTTTTATAAAAAATGCTTCTGACCAGAGTTTTGTTTCCTTGTCATTAATGTTGAACACCACCAGAGGGGCTCTCACCTGAAAGGTCTCTGCTTCATGTGTCTTCAGCAGAAGATCTAGACTTTGATTGCTATATTTTCAGTTAATATTGACCTTACTGAGCTTTAGCCATATCCGCTGCCTATCATAAAAAATGTTAAGTACAGTGAACCTTTCTAAAATATACAGTAGTAAAGAGACAAACCCACCAGCATTATAGTAGCCAAATTCTTGTTTGTGGGCTGTATATATAAAATTGACTTGAAAAAGTTGCTGATTTTAGAGTACTGGCACCTTTTTCATTCCAATTCAAGCACTGATTAGCTGACTGAAACAAAGAAGCACAAACGAGCCATCCTCGTGGGTATCCCAGGCCATATGCATCTGCACTGCAGCGGACTGTGTGAGTGCTTGGGAAGCTCTCACAGAATCTGTCAGCTTGGATGGTTTTCGATAGCTGTCGTTGAACTCGTTTGCCTCTATTTCCATTTGTTTGGTGAGTCTGTGATAATGGCAGAGCACTCCAGATGGGCTAATGGAGGGGATGACATACTGTAGAGAGAAGCCCTTCTATCTGGCTTAACAAGACACGTCACCATCACGGCTAATGGCATTTCTCTTTCCACGTGTTTTTGTTAAAATGATATATTTTTCTCCATTTCGTTGTATGTGATTAAATCAAAAAGTAAAAGTTCTAAACGTGCCAAAAAAAATCTGCCTTACATATCTCACACATATTTCACAATGTATACAAATTCAAGATCCCATTTTCCCCGTTTAGAGAAGTTGTAGCGCTTTGCATGGAAGACTCTTCTTTAATGAATGTATGTTGGTCTTTTGTCCCTTGTTATAAGCAGCCTTTAAAGTGTTAACAAGTGTCATGAAATAAAGAATAACGAACTACCTCTAGCTTAAACCCAATAAAAGATCAATAGCTTTTACCCTAAGTATTTTGTTCCAATGTCTATATATTGTTCTCCATAATATCTCCAGCCTTACCTTGTTTTTTCGTCAGAAGTCTTTTAAGAGTTAAACCTATTAACACATTTATCTTCCTTTTTTTATGTCTAGCTTTTCTACATTTGACATGGCCTGGCCTAATCATAGTTACCTTTAAAGTGTTCTGCATGTAAGAGTCATGCATCAGAATGTGCATAATATGCATAATTCACTTTAAGTTTCACATTATACACCCTTCCTCCCACATTGTGCCTATCACTTTGTCAGTAATTGCCTGGCTGTCTGATCTTCACATTTGAATTGCATATTGCAGAGGTTATTATATAGCTATATCGTTGCCATTAATATTACGGTAAAAGTGGGTCGGGAAAAAAAACCTGAAGATTATGTCATCGGCAGTTTGTGATGTCAAATGCTTTAAATGTCACTGATAAAAAATGTTTTTCTTGTTTTTTCTCCACATACACACACACCTCCCAGACCATGTGTGTGGTTTTGAGGATCAGAGGATCTGTGGTTTCTCTCAAGACCGGAGTGATGTCTTCGACTGGACGAGACAAAATCACCTATCCCAGAATCCCAAGCGATCTGCCAATACCGGACCCGATACTGACCGCAGTGGAACCAAGGAAGGTGAGGAAACCAGGGAAAGATTGTATTTACAGTGTCAGTTATGTATTGTCGTCAAAGTATTACAGCGACAGGGCTGTATATAATACACAATGCACAATTGTACAGCATTGTAATTACATGACTTTGTTCTGTTTCATTCGATCCTCGGACAATAGAGTGTTGTCTTATACGTTTCAGGGTACTACATGTACATTGAAGCATCACGGCCGCGCACTGAAGGGGACAAGGCTCGTCTGCTTTCTCCACTTTTTAATGTGACCTCAGTCAGAGGCCCCAAGGGCTCCGGCAGAGTCCCATACTGTGTTGCTTTCTACTACCACATGAAGGGCAAGCATATTGGTGAGTAATACAACAAAACATAATTTGTCTCTCAAAAACACAAATGGTTATACAGTAGTGGGCACGCTCATACTCATTTCAATCGTGGTTCTCATATAGCTGAGCACCTGTCAAAGCTGAACTCTTGACCCCCGCTTGTAGAGCTTGTCAGAAACAACATTGTATGTGTGTGTATGTGTGGGAGTGAGAAGGAGGGGGTAGGGGCGTTACTAAAGTTCTGTTTGTTTCTTCTTGTGCCTCAGTGTGTATTTGGAGGTGGCTGAAGGGGGCAGTGGGTGTGTGATTAATGGTAGTGGCAAGACACAATCAGTCATTTGGGGGAGCTGTTCATCATAATATGCTCCGTCACACAGCTAGAATGCATACATCTTGTAGCCAACACACCTGCACACACACTTTGACACAGGAATGGATTCACACAAAAAACGTACAGTAGAAGTTGCAAATACATAAAGGCACAAACACACATTTGTTCACAGACACGCACACATACACAATGTTGATTTATGTGTCCATAGCACAAGCCTGCAGACTTCACTGTAACATTTGTTACATTCTGACCTGCCCTGCCTCCTAAGGATATTATAGTGTGTGGAAGGGCACAACGTTGGTGTGTGTGTGTGTGTGTTTGTGTTTGTGTGTGTGTATGTGTGTGTGTGTGTGTGTGTGTGTGTGTGTGTGTGTGTGTGTGTGTGTGTGTGTGTGTGTGTGTGTGTATGTGTGTGTGTGTGTGTGTGTGTGTGTGTGCAAAACAAGGAGACGAGTAAATGCTAAATCAGTCACGGAGCGCTTGCTTACGATTAGTACATTCTGTTTGCAGTTATGCCCAGCGCTGCTACAAGTCCTCTCTCAATTTACTCTGTTGTTTTCCCAGTCTCTTCCAATCTGTTGTCACTTTAATTGCCTTACCTTGGCAGAGCTCACACTCCTGCCAGGAAGACACTGTGTGACTCTTAATGATCAAAAGAAACAAGACGAGGATAAGAAAGAGGGGTCAGTGAGAGGAGAGACGAGACTAGAAGAGTGAGGGAAGGACGGGGGTGGGCAAGCCTTGGGTAGGAAGAGAAAGCTCTAATGAAGAGGAAGGGAGAGCAAGCAAAGAGGATGGTAGGAAAAAGAGATGGACAAAGAATGAAGTGCAAGAACAAAGGAAGCATGAGCAAACAAGTATGAAGAGGCATTGAAGGGAGCAAAAAAAAAGAAGCCTAGAATGGAGAGCTGCAGTAGAGGCCATACACTTGTTAATGTTCAGAAGTAGTGAGAGGATGGTGAGTTATCCTGAAGCACTCTAACAAGTTTCAATGTACTCAATCGTATAGTGTTCAAGTACTGTCAATTGTAAAAGGGCTGTATAAAGCATTAAGGTACTTTGACACAAAGACATTTTTAGAAATGCTGTAGAAATGTTACTCTTTTCTTACCCACATATACTTTAGCTGTTTTATAATCATGGTTTCATGTGGATATGAAACACGTGAAAATATTTTTGAGGATTTTCAATTTGAAAAGAAAGCATATGATCTTTGAGGAGTTCAGATGTTTGGGTAGCAAATAGGCTAACACTGCAAATAAAGACCTCCCCATGTGATGTGTTTTGTTGTTCACCTTAATGTGCTTCTCTTTGGGCTTGCTGGCAGCAACAATAAACCACATTTAATTAGTTTTGTTTGGCATTAGGTAGTATTTTAGATTGGCTCAGATTTGCAGAGTGCCAATGGCAAGCTTTCCTAAAATCACTGGATTATATTCACTTCACAGTTATGGATAGCAAATTAGAGTTTGGGGTTGTTTAAATGTTGTATGCAGCTGTGGATTGTACTTTTTATTACTTTTAATTAGTTTGCTGTACAAATATTTACAGAACTAGAAGAGAATGGGGTGCCTGTGTGTCAGATAAAACGCTTTGAAACGTTTTATGTCAACACTCATTTTCGAAAAACCTTCTGATAAGCTTGTTGTCTAGCAAGGTTTAGCTAAGCCTAGATTTTACCTTTTTCTTTTGCTGCTGAATTGATTATCTAATCAGACATTTTATAAACGTTTTTTTGCTTGTTGTTTGGCGGCAAAATCTATAGTGTTGGCTCTCAGTTTAACACACCAGAATACGAAAACACAGCATCCCTCTTTAGGCGCAGATTATGGGCAGAGGGACAGGAGATCCCATGCAGGCCTTCTTTTGATTATAAATGTATCTTTTATTTAAGGCAAGGCAAGGCAAGTTTATTTATATAGCACTTTTCAACACAAGGCAATTCAAAGTGCTTTACAAAAAATGAAAGACATTAAGAAAATGGCATTTAAAATCAGTCATTAAAAAGAAAAGCTAATAAAATAAACATTAAAAGAAAAAATACATGGATAAAAGTTACAGTGCAGTCTAAGATATGAATAGTTCAATTAAAAGCAGCGACAAAAAGAAAAGTCTTCAGCCTGGATTTAAAAGTAGTCAGAGTTGCAGCGGACCTGCAGGTTTCAGGGAGTTTGTTCCAGATATTTGGAGCATAATAACTGAACGCTGCTTTACCATGTTTAGTTCTGACTCTGGGGACAGAAAGCTGACCAGTCCCTGAAGACCTGAGAGATCTGGATGGTTCATAATTTAGCAGGAGGTCAGAAATGTATTTTGGGCCTAAACCATTCAGTGCTTTATAAACCAGCAGCAGTATTTTGAAATCTATTCTTTGACACACAGGAAGCCAGTGTAAAGACTTCAGAACAGGAGTGATGTGATCCACTTTCTTAGTGTTAGTGAGGACTCGAGCAGCAGCGTTCTGAATCAGCTGCAGCTTTCTAATAGATGTTTTAGTGAGACCTGTGAAGACACCATTGCAGTAGTCGAGTCTACTGAAGATAAAAGCATGGACAAGTTTTTTCCAAATCCTGCTGTGACATTAGTCTTTTAATCCTAGATATATTCTTTAGGTGATAGTAGGCTGATTTAGTAACTGTTTTAATGTGACTGTTGAAACTCAGGTCAGAGTCCATGACTACACCTAGATTTCTGGCTTTATCTGTTGTTTTGAACATTGCAGACTGAAGCTCAGCGCTAACTTTTATACGTTCTGCCTTCGCTCTAAAAACCATTACCATTACCTAAGTTAAAAAAGTGTGTGTGTGTGTGTGTGTGTGTGTGTGTGTGTGTGTGTGTGTGTACATCTGACTGTGTGTGTGGCTGTGTTTCTTTGCTGTCCTCCTCACTAACGTTTGTACGAACAAGTAGCCCTGATAGAGTTGTGCTTTCTCCTCTGCCTCTCTGACATTAAAACACTCTCTGCTGTCCCTCGGTCCAATCAATAGACTGCTTATCAGAGTGCTCTTCATTTTCTCGTGTGTGTGTGTGTGTGTGTGTGTGTGTGTGTGTGTGTGTGTGTGTGTGTGTGTGTGTGTGTGTGTGTGTGTGTGTGTGGTGTGTGTGTGTGTGTGTGTGTGTGTGTGTGTGTGTGTGGTGTGTGTGTGAGGGTGAGACAGGAGAATGGGTGGTGAATGAGGAAGGAGACAACAAGGCTTAGTAATGTGGAGGTAGAATGACAGAGTGGTGGTGATACAGGTGAGAGCGGGCTACACCAGCATTAGTTATGGTTTCCTTCCATTATATTCCTACAATGACACCCATATCCTTTCAGATGTAATGTGACAGTTGCATGTGACACTTTTATGAGGCTATTCCAGCTGCAATATCAGTACATCATTTTTACAACAAGTATTCTGCTGTTTGTACCTGCACGGAGCATAGACAACCTCAAAATAATCCTGCTGTTAAAGCAATAGTATGATGTTTTATAGAACATTTTTGCTTTTTTTGTTAACTTTGATCAGAAGATCAATACCACCATGATACACTGTAGCCTATGTCTGTTAAATAAGATATTTACTTAACTTGGGATAAAGACCAGAAACAAATAGAAACAGTCTGGAACAAGAAAGTCCATCTTCATCTTTATATAGGGCGGTGGTGGCGAAGTCCATAGGGACTTGGCTTGGCAACTAGAAGGTCACTAGTTCAAGTCCCGGAAAGACCAAGTGCTACCGAGGTGTCCCTGAGCAAGGCACCGTTCCCGACACTGCTCCCCGGGCACCGTACATAATGGCAGCCCACTGCTCCTAACACTAGGATGGGTCAAATGCAGAGAAACCGTTTCGTTACATAGTACCTCCTTTCGAGGGGGCATCTGCAGTCTCCGAAGCCTGATAAGGATGTGTGTGTACAAAACACAACAAACTCTTACTGATATGTGATGGGTCCAGGCTCAAGGGCGTATGGCACTCTCAACTCTTTCCAGGACATGTCGGGGGCCCTGCCTGCCAGTAGCTTTGCCGATATCTGTGTTGATAGGTAATAGATTAAGAGCGGTGAATCATAGAAAACAGGAAGCGCTCAAACGTTTGTGTGAGTGTATCTAATTTAGCAGTGATTCCATGTCAGCCACAGCTTGTTACAAAAAACATGACTGATAGTGTGTTTAACAAACTTAAACTAGCTTTATTAAATGTCAGGTCTTTGGCAGGAAAAACATTTTTAATCAATGATTTTATCACTGAGCACAATCTCGATTTTATGTTTTTAACAGAAACTTGGATTGAACAAAATAACAGTGCAGCTGTTCTTATCGAATCAACCCCTCCCAACTTTAGTTTTATGAGTCAGGAAAGAATGCATAAGAAAGGGGGTGGAGTTGCTATTCTGTTCAATGATTCCCTTCAATGCAGGAAGACATCGTATGGAAACTTTGATTCTTTTGAATATGTGGCCCTTCGGCTGAAATGCTCCTCTCGAGCTCTGTTCCTAAATATCTATAGACCACCCAAATACTGTGCAAGCTTTTTTGATGACTTTACTGAACTGCTGTCTATAGTGTGTATTGACTTTGACCGTCTAGTCATTGTTGGTGATTTTAACATCCATGTTGACAACCCCCAGGACAGAGGGGCTAAAGAACTGTTTTGTGTTCTTGATAGCTATGGACTGACTCAGCATGTGACGGAGCCCACGCACAATAAGG